ATTAAAGAAATAAATCTTGAAATAAAATATGCTAATTATTTAGTGCAGGCAATATTAAAAGTTACGAAATCCGACACAAAAACATATATTTTTTTTTTAATAAACGTACCTTTTTTCAAGGGATTTGGATTTCTGATTAGCTGTAATCTGGGATTCCCAATCAGTCCCCATTGTGGCGCTCAAAAGAGCGCTATAAAATTAGGACCCCTTAATGTTAATTTTACTTTTTGCTTATTTCGCAATATCTCGAGAACTTTTTAGTGAATTGAAAAATTTTTACACTCAATCATAAAATTCGTTTATCCAGAAATAATTCCGTGCAAAAAATAACTTTTAGATATATGTAAGAATGGCTGAAAAATTTTGAATTTTTAAGGTATACAATTTGCATCATTTTATGTTACAAAATTTGAGTCAAATCAGTCGAATAGTTTCTGAGAAATCGAATTTTATTCTCAGGAAGAATTCGACCGATTTGGCTCAAATTTTGTATTTTGCCATATTAAATTACATTTTTTAAAATATTACAAAAAATTGCATACTTTAAAATTTAAAATTTTTTTTGACCATTCTTGAATAAAATAATAAATATTTACTAAAAGTTATTTTTGCATGCAATCTTTGTATACAGAAATTTTATAACTGTGTGTAAAATTTCTCATTTCGCTTAATAATTTCTCGTTCGACTTAGCAAAATATGCAAAAAGTAAAATTTGCATTAAGGGGTGTAAACTTTGGAGTTCTCTCCTGATCAAACTATGGGGACGATATTTTCCAGATTGTGGGTGTCCCCTATATTTTGGGGGTCAGAAATCCGAATTCGTCGAAAAAAGGTATGTTTATACGGAGAAAGTGCGTTGTGTCCAATTTGCTAACTCAAAATATCGTCTACAGTCTACACTTGAAATTAAGATATAGAAACCCCTTCGAGCAATTAAGATCGAGTCCCTAGAACCTGAAAATCCAATCATTAGATCAAAAATTATTCAAGGTTGTCCCTAATGTTACAGGAGAAATCGAGACAGAAAATTTCAATTTTGTTTTCTTTCACTTCCTTGACCTATTTCATTCTTACTTATGTATAAGTATTTCAAACAATACAAAAATTTTAACTGTGCAAACTATAGGCAATGACTTAAATATTTTATTTTTAAAAAATTATTAAATTTAATGCTTATCTAAGTTTTTAAGTTATCACTGAAAGCGAATGCTGTACATAATCTGAAAACACATTTAAATTACTTAAAAAAATTAATTTAAGAACATGATTCTGTTATATTATTAAGAACATATTCTCGATTTACGTCCTCTCTGGTTTAAACGAAAATATAGACTTTATTGTACGAGATCGTTATATCGTGATAACTAATTCTCAATAATAAAAAATAATCGATATTTCTCCTTTTTAACCAAGTATTAAGCCTAGGGCGCTACCCTTTCTTATAATAAAATATGTGGTCCTGTCATTCGTTCTTCATTCATAGAGAATTCGTTTTACGTTTATCGAGCGGTATCATTAAAGTACCGCAAACAAAATAATGACTTTGGCTATCCATTGTTTCATTATCGATAGGAAAATATTTATCTTTTTTGTGGGTTTTTTTTTTTTTAAGGAACAAAATTTTGGTCGCTATATTGGAATGAATGATTCCGTTCAGATGTTCTAATGAGAGTTTATATAATATTGTGTTGATTGAACTTTGTATCGGTCTACTAAAAAGCGTAGACATATCAAAAACACACTTTCTTTGCTTTATTTTTCAGGTGTATGTATATATTTATATTAATTTCTAAAATGAAAAATTTTAATGGAGAAAGTTTTTTTTTTTTAATGGCGGGCACTTGGAACTATTGCCCATTAGCCACAGAAAGTGCAGAACTGATAACTCTCTTTTCGTTACCCAGTGGACACCTGTGGCGAAGCCACGGCGGTGGAGCAGCGTCGCCCTCGTCGCACTACCATAACCCGTTTATAGGGTAGGTCACATTCACACACAAAGGAGAAAGGACATAGAACACAGAAAGAGAGAAAGAATCATCCATGCCTTGCCCGGGATTCGAACCCAGAACCTTTCTGATGCAAGGACAGTTCCCTGCCCCCTACACAGGCTGGTCGGTAAATTAATGGAGAAAGTACTTATAAATTTGATTTTGTCATAAATTTTATTTTAACCTCACTTATTAGGAATTATAATGCCTGACTTAATACAGACTCTTTTTTTTTTTTTTTTTTTTAATGAAATGCAGAAAAAAAAGGAGGGAAATTTTTTCCCTGCAGCTGGAAAAAGTTAAGTGTTTTCGTAGAAATTGGTACAGTTTTTCAAATTAATTTAGTAGCAATAAATGCCGTATCTATCAACTTTGAATTCTAAAAGTGATTACTTGATATAAATGAAATATCTGTAAAATTTTTAAGTTTAACCCTTTAACCTCAGTCCCGAAATCGGTATCCATTTTATAAATTAAACAACATACATTAATCGAGTCCTCAGGAATTTTAATGAGTGAGCTTCTACAGAGTGCAGAGTTGAATAATGGACAAAAAAGTGGTTTAGAAATATTGACCGAATTTAAAGACCTATTTCACCTATGGGGCACAGAAACGAACGTATAAAAATAGCGCAACACCAATTTGTTACTGGAGATCATGCTCCCATCCTCATTTATCATTTGTTAAAGAAGAAGGGGTGGATATACACTTCTAAATGAAATCCAACGGATGATCTGTTACATTTCATATAGAACGATGAATCATCGAAGAGTACGTGGGCTTCTCTGATTGTCTTAGCGGGAGGAAAGATGTCTCAACACGATTTGCTATCGACTATCGTTGACTGAATAGCATAACAAAAAAAAAAGATAGTTACCTTCCTTCCAGGATTGACGATATATTAGACACTCTATCAAGGAATAATTGGCTTTCGACATTGAACCAAAGTAGTTACTGGCAGATCGAGATACATACTGATGACAGCGAAAAGACTGCTTTCACTACGAGACAAAAATTTTGGTAGTTTAAGGTGATGCTATTCGACCTTCGTAACGCACTTGCAACTTGCAACCTTTGACCATCTTATGGAGACGGTGAGTTCAAAGTTATTTCCTTGAAAGAAGTCTAGTCCGAGAACGAATTCGTCATCAAAATCAGCCACGTATGCCACATGATGGTAATTGGCATCTCTGAATGTAATCTTAAAGTGGACTGTTCCGTGAATCTTAATTTTGCCTCTGATCTATAGTGCAACGCCGGTCGGAGTTCAGCTGAATTTTTCACCTAGTTTCCAAACCAAATCTGATTTGATGATGGTGACGTTGGCTCCAGTATCAATTATCATACGACATGGAACTCCATTGGCATGCGCACTGAAAATCCACTGTCGCTACCATTCAATTATGAAATTTTCAGAATGAGGCTTCATGAGTTCTGGACTCCTCCACCCCACGAGATATCCACAAATTAGTTTTCCTGTTGAGCTGGAGCGTTACCTACACCATCCTTAATTATCTGGCAGATTTTTACGAACATGACCAACCTTACGGCAGCTTCAACATTGAATTTATTTTCTTCTGCTTGTCCTGCTTTCTCTGGAACTGCATGTCTCTCACAAAAGACTCAATCATTTCTTTTGATCAGCGTTTGATTGCCTGGCTGATATTGTTCTGATGAAGTGGCGGCCCTTCTGTCTCTGAGGCTTGCTGAATTGCTTCAATCTTATCCCATATAGCACAAAATCATCCAGTGGATAGTAGACGTAATCGCAAACATCCACGAAAGTCCATGTGGTCGCCAGGTGAACGTCTACTGGACATCCATATTTGATCCAGTTAATGTCCAGTAGCCGTTCATCAGACATCTGTCATAGCTTTTACGTGGATGAGATATGGATAATTTGATCCATAGCTTATCCAGGGATGAACGTCTCATAGACAGCCACATGAATTTCACGTGAAAGACACGTAATCCACATGAAAGACATGTAACGAACCTGCTCTTTGTATATCATTCATATGAGCTCTGTAATTTAGTATTTCTCATTTTTATGCCCGAAATAAACGTAAGAGTGTAAAAATCAAATTAAAAACCATTAATTTTTTTTATTTTTAATCTTACATCTCTTGAGGATGGATAGTTGACTAAATGTAAAAAATAACAAGCTTTCTAAAACCGGAAGAAATTTAGAAATTTACGCGTTATTTTACCATTCATAAGAGTTTTCTGTAATTTACAAATTCTAATTGGTTGTGAGCGTAAAATAAATTTAAGAAAATTAATATCAATATATAAATAAAGTGTAATGTTTGCTATGTTTTGAGTGTTATTCCTTATTTGGCTATATTGGGTTGATCGAAAATTGCTCTGAAGTCGAAGACATTTAGAAAATGATTGACTCTTGGTAAAGCAATATCAGCAGGTCATTCTTCTTATAGGGCTAAAAATACCACAAAGGAGTAAGATTTATTGTCCTAATTTCTAAGATTTGTTTTGTATAAATATTTTTGTCATATATTTTTGTAAACAACTTGAGAGTTCGTTGTGAAATCTACATACTGCATTACAGTCAAGAATGCTATACTCTATAAGAAACCCTCCACAAATGCCTTTTTTCAATATAATTTTTGGACTCTGTCTTGCTGTGATGCCTATTAGATGCATGTACGATTTTTTTATTGATCCTTTCTTGAGTTTTCCACGAAAATGTGCAAGACGCGTTTGTTTCTCTACTTTTGAACATAAGTGTAGATAATTCTACAACCATGCGTATGTAAATAAGTGTTAGAACTAGGCAACTCTTTAAAGTGACGACACACCTAGAAAAACAAGTCTAAAAATTTCAGCATGAAAAGAGGTTTTGAGTAGAAAAAGCAGGGTCTTGAAAAAACATTATTAAACATTACGACCTCTCGCAGCGGCTTCCATAAGACTGAAGAAAAAGTGTATTTTGTACAAGTTAGGTGGCAGCACCATAGTCATCATGCAATTTTGGATTATAAGAATGAATTTTCATACTCGTTAATGGCAACATCAATTTAGTGGCGCTTTTATTTGTTTTCTTTTTAAGCGCAATTTGTTTAAAACGTCATCCTTGGATTCTTAGGTTTTCTTTGTAATTTTGCAATTTTAAAGTAGCTGAGTGATAACGTAACAGATTAAATTTGTCTCTTCTTCAAAGGTCAGATAACGTATGATATTGAAACACTCTGGTTTGATAGCAAGCACTCGAAACTTTACCTTTATCGCTTTATCAATTGCCTCAGAAATTTCTTATCATTCGCCTGGCCTCTTATCTTACAGCTTTAAATCTATTTCTAAAGTTTTCTTTCCTTAGTTTTACGTTTTCAAGGAAGGTATTTTTGATATAATTGTTCCCTGGTATCATGGCTTCCTCTAATCATATTGGTAATTTATTTTTTACTACTTTCTTTAGTAAATGAAACTAGGATATATAAATTTATAATTAAAAAAATAATTTTATACCACCTATTAAATCTTATGCTAATAGGAATCATCCTTGGCACGATATTTAATTACAAATATTGCTTAATTAGTACTTGATATTGGTAATAATACTGACTCTACTTGATGTTGGTAATAATACTCTTTAATTTTATTTACAAATATAAATTTAAGCAATATTTTGTAATTGATCAGGTATTTTAAGTCTCTTCAGACAATATAACTATTTAGTGATGTTATAACAACTAAATACTACTTTCATAATTGGCCCTAATGTAATTTTATACACTTATAATTGCTGCACAATTTTAATAAATCAATTGGATCTTGTTTCGATCCTACAATTAGAAATTGTTTAATTATGGTACTTTTTCATATTTTAATTGGAGATATTAGGAGAATAGAAAAGTGAAGGATCTCTTGTATCTTAAAAAGGACAACTTCAATTTTAGAAGACATTTAGCTTTGTAAAAATAAATAAGAGCATTATTGAATTAGAGATTTATGTTATATGTTTTGTATTTTTAAATTAAGTATTTAACAATACAGTTTTACCAATAGAAACATTTATATATTTGAAAGAAATTTTTAATTATGAAAATTATTTAACTAAACTCTATCTAACAATAACTTTGCATAATTAAAGCACTAGTGCATTCAAAGATAGCTGCTATAACAGTGTTTTCACTATGGCGCGAGAATCTCGCTTATTTTTTTCTTTTCTCGCATTAAAAAATGATTACCGCTAGAAATTCGCGCATTCTATAAACCAATTTCAAAATTCGAGAATTTCTCGCATTTTGAAAAAAATTTCTCATTGCGCCATTTAAAATAAAATCCGTTTCACTATTTTTCCTGGATCTTTCATTATTTTCAACATCTGCCCCATTATCTAGCTTCCCTGTTTACCAGTATTGTTCAGAATCTTTAAGAACTACAGAACACCATCCCTCCGAACCTCTTTCAGAACACATTTCTCTGCAACCACGTGTTTACTGTAGGTAAGGTTTCTTCATGTAAGACGTTCAAATTTTTTTGCGCATTAATGCAAGATGGACAAATACCTTGTAAAGGCAATATCATCTACTCCGAAACGGACAAATGAAAATAAAACAAATGTGGGTAGAAACGATCAAAAAGAAACAGATACGCATTTGAGTTACCTAAGGAGAATAGCTGATGAAAAAGTAGATAGAGAACATTTTCCATATGATGATGCAGCAAAAATATTCAATGCTTTAAAAATTAGAAGATATTAAAAATGTATTATAATTAAAGAAATAATTTTTTTTCATGTCTCTTTGTGTTTTTGTTTTTTAATTTTTAGAAATCTCACTTAACTTTTTGAAATCTCACCCTTTTTTTGAGAAAGGGTGAGAAATTCTCACCCATTTTTTTTCTGCGATGAAAACACTGTATAAGGTAATTTTTAATTATTACTATGTAGTTATGTTGAGGAAAATTGTAAACAGTAATAGTTATTAGCAGTTTTTTCTATAATTTAAACCTGAGATTGTTTCTCAAAATACTAATTCATAGTTTCTATTATGGTTCTGTTTTATTTCACTTAACTGTTTTTTAGAATTTAAAGTTTCTAAATTAGTATTTATAAAGACACTCTTTTCTTTGAGCTTAGGCAAAGACAATGTATTTATCTCTGTTTAAGCTCAGAATAAGTTGGCAACTCTTAAAGAGAACAATATTTTCATTTGTCTTTTTATAGTTTTTTTTTCATTTTATGCGGAGAATGTTTTATCTATAATGAAATATTAGTAGATATAAATATTGATCTTTATATTGTATAAATTTTTTACCATTTATTTGGGCTGTAATAAAACTTTCCTATTTATATATATTTTTTGCAATTTCATCTAGCAATTCTTAGTGTCTCAGATAAATCTGGACTTCTCCCATTTGCTAAAACTTTAGCATCAGTTGGATTTCATCTTGTTGCATCTGGAGGGACAGCAAAGGCTTTAAGAGATGCAGGTTTAAAAATTAGGTTTGTAATAGTAGTTTCCTATTGTAATTTCATTTTAAAATAAAGAGTAGTTTTAATTGGCTATTGTAGTATGATCTTCAGACATGTAGAATTTTGTGAAAAATGAAATTAAATGGTTTGCTCTTGTAAAATGCTTGCACGCTTTCCATTGCACGGAGCATGAAACTCCTTCATAAACCTGCAATTTGCAGAATTCTGCAAATTTTTATTGTTGCTATATATTGTCACTCTTTGCTTACAGAAGTAAAAATTAAATACTTAAAAAATATTAATTTCCAACCTGATTTTAATTTTCATATTTTATACTTTGTAGTAACATGTGATAAAATGCAGGTAGATGATTTGTTTAAACTTTCTTCAGGAAATCTAAATTAAATACACAAGGATTATTGTAATAGGTAATATGTTGTATAGTTAAAAGATGCAGTATGTAAAAATATTTTTTTGTCTTTTCTATAGCTTGTTATTTTACTTAATTTTTTTATTTGGAGTAGCTTTGTTGTCTTTCTTTAATATTTATGGCTAAACTTTTGAATCAAAATTATTTAATTATTACATTTTCATTTTATGATTGGTACCAAAAAATAGTTTAAAATGTTGTCCAATTGTTGCAGGGATGTCTCAGAATTAACTGGAGCTCCTGAAATGTTGGGAGGACGAGTTAAAACTTTGCACCCGGCTGTACATGGTGGTAAGTTTCCTTAAAAAAAAATGCTGTTAGTCATTTCTGTACTTTGTGGTTAATCATTTCTATAGTTAGAATAAAACAATTATCTAAATAATTTTTTACTTAATCTTTGAATTTTTTTTATGTGGTAAGATGCAATATTCTTAGCTTAAAATTATCATATGACAGTCATATTGAGATATGACAGTATTTTAACAATCTAAAAATTATGGTTTCAATCATTAAGTTAAAATAGCAGTCAAAGGTTTGAGCCCATGTCATTCACTATATCTTTTAGAGTATTTACACCAATAGTAGATGAATTCACACATTTGGGAAATTTGATTTCCTACAAAAAATTATTTTTAATTCTTATTAATTTTAATAATGATTGAAATATAAGCTTCATGAAGTCATTTAACTAATTGTGATTTGTTTATTACATGAAATGTTTTAAATGAATATTATTTAATATAATTTTAAACAACAAAAGATTTAATGATTAGTGAAAGGAAAATTTAAGAAGTTGATTATTTTTAAAAAAAGTTGAAGAAATAATAAACTGATTTCATCCAAATTTTCAGTTTTTCATCACAAATTCTGTTCCAGATGTCAAAATTTATCAACCTTCCATTTTAAAAATTTTCATTAGTTTAATGAAAAACAAATAATTATTTATTATAACTTTTGTTGCTGTAGTTATCTTTCAATAAACATTTATTTGCATGTAACTAAATTGAGAAACGTAATTCACAAGCAGTAAAAATAACATGGAATTTTGACTTTTGGAACCACATTTTACTACTACTCTTCCCATTCAGATAATTTTAGGATCAACTGCAATTTGTTTCAAAAAGTTTATCTACAAAAGATGCACTTATTGGCGATCGAAATGGGCTGCAGGTGGCGTAGAGCAGAACTCTTTTCCTATGGCAACACTTCACATGCTTTCCCCATTAGCGTGTGGAAAGTCATAGAGGAAGGAAGCACGTTAGTTTCTCTCTTGATTTTCATATAGATTAAAATCTTTTAACTTGAAAAACTAAATGAAACTGAAAACTACATTAAACATAGTTCTAAAGAAAAGTATCGTGGAAATTTTAAAAAATCTTTTTATTAAATAAAAAGGAAAAATATTAAGAAAAGGGAAAATATCGTAGTACATTCCTATACAACTGAAAAGAGGAGGAGAGGGAAGGGAGAAGGGCTAAAGGCATGAAACCGGTCTCTCCCCAGATGGCGTATTCGAGTGTTGCGATCGCGAATAGTAATATTTCAAGCAACATTTATTTTAATGCTTATATAATGCAATATTTAATTTTTTTTAATGTTTATATGCTTGTTTTTTCTTCAAAGTTTGTTCTTCAAATAATAAAAATAAATGTAATGCATAACAATCCAATTCAAAAGTTGTTTAAGGAATTATTTTTTTTTAAAATTTGGTTTGTGTGTAGGCAAAAGACAAACTTTTACAACTAAAAAAACTATTTAAACATAGCAAGGTTATTTCTATTCTCTTAATGTTAATCCCTTTATTTAAAAAAAAAAATTGTTAGAAAGATTTTTTTTCTTCTTGGAATTAGAAAACTTTTTAGTTTTGTTATTCTTTCATGTCTCAAAAAGTTTAATTTTTCAAGAATAGTTTTTAATACTCATTGTATAATTCACTGTATTTTCATATTTTTGGGTGATTTTCTTTAATGCTTTTTATCGTTATTATAGGGTTTAGTTTAATAATGAAGCCAATATTAAAATTCAATTGTCATTCAGTCTTTTAAACATAATTAACAATATCTTATTTGAAATTTTTTTTGTGCTCTATCAAACCGTTTTCTTATTTTCAGGCATATTATCTACAAAGTCAGATAGTGATATTGCTGATATGAAGAACCGGGGTTACGACTTTGTCAGGTGAGAAAGTTGATTATGTATGTTATCTTATCTTTTTTTTTTGGGAAAAAGATAGAAAAACCTAAAGCTGTTCCTGAATATATCTATTTCATTTATATCATAAAATATTATAATATAGTTTTTGCAATAATGAGTAAAAATGCAATATTTCTTTTCATCTAAACATGTNCATGTTTTAAAAAAAAAAAAAAAAGACATTAATAGATTAGAATATAATTTATTCATTATTTTTCAATGTTGTAACTGAGTCAAAGCTTTGACTTTTTCAGTCTATCACTTTCAAAATGTCGACATGTCTGTGAACACCAAATTTAACATAGTTGAATATATATGTAATTAATTATTATTTTCTTTTTATAATTAAAGAAAAATTACAGGGTGAGATTTATATATTGTGTCAATTGAATAGATTTTTTGTTACTCTAAGTAAATTAATATTAGTGACATTTTTTAAAATAATATAAATACTACTGTTAACATAATGAGAGATTTTAAAATTAGTCTATTTTAATAAAAAAATTTACTATATATTTTTCATCTAACTTCATATTTTGTCATTGGTGTTCCTTTTCATATTTGTTATTTCTTTTATTTCTAAGTTTAGTGAAAGGGAAATGATGTATAACTGTTATGAATTTTTACATTTCTTTGCAGTGTTGTTGTTTGCAATTTGTACCCATTTGTTGCCACTGTTTCAAAGCCAAATGTGACAGTAGCTGATGCAGTTGAAAATATTGATATAGGTAATACAATTAATATTTTATATCAAAAGTCAAGAAACTGTTAGCTATTTCCAATAAGTTATATATATTTATAGGTGGAGTGACACTTTTAAGAGCTGCTGCAAAAAATCATGATCGTGTTGTCATTGTTTGTGACCCCACAGATTACACCGTGTAAGTTCATTTAAATGTTTATATGTATATATATATATATATATATATATTGATGTCATATATTTATTTATGTATTTTTATATATTTCATTAGAATTGGAGATATTTTGGAGAAAAAAAAGACTCTTGATGCTATTTTAAATGAAGATTCCCTACCACTCAGAAGACGTTTAGCTTTGAAAGTAATAAAAAGTTTAATTTTGTGCATAAATATTGTTTAAGATGTTATTGTCTATTGATTAAACTAGTAACAATATAAAATTACTTAAAAATAGTTTAAAAAATAATGTAAAAATAAAATAAAATTGTGTGTTTAAAAATAAAAAAAAATTGTGTGTAAACACACAATTTTATTTTTACATTATTCTTTAAACTATTTTTAAGTAATTTTATATTGTCACTAGTTTAATTTTATTTTAATTTAATTTTATTTTTACATTATTTTTTAAACTATTTTTAAGTAATTTTATATTGTTACTAGTTTATATAATTTGAATTTGGTTTTAGCTGCCTTGTGCACTGTTCCAATTTGAATTAATGTAGTAATGGTTATTTATTATTCATACCTCCTGTTTAATTATTTTAACTTAAGAATTTGAATTTATGTTTCGATTGTCTATTGATTTTAATTTGTTATCTTCATAATCTAATATGATAATCTATTATGATCATATAAGATGCATAATCTAATATGTATGTGTGCTTAAACTTTCTTTAAACATAGTTTGGTTATTACATTCAGTATACTTCCTATTATCCAAGCAATTTGGTGTTATGACAACCTTAAATGAGCAAATTCCATGAAAAATTCAAAAATGTCAGTTTTTTATGCTTTATCACGTAGAAACTGTTTTATTTGCAATTGTCGGTTTTTGAACTATTTGTTATTGACAAAAAAGTATCTATCATGGCAGTGAATATGAAAGAAAAAAAAAGTTGAGGCAAGGTAGAATTTCATTCAAATAAAGAAATTATGGAACAAAATCATTTTCAGAAAATTATTCTAAATCTTTTTACCAAAATGCCCTGTAAACTGTTTCCCCATCTAATAACATAGGAAAACCAGTTTTCGCCATGCTTAAAGAATGAAAGTCAAAATGTGACTCTATGTGCGAGATTAATATTTGTAGCTGTATTCCGTACATGTAATATTTAATGAGATATTCTCTTAGATTAAGATGACACATGTAATCTAGTGTAAACTGTATTAATTTTATTTAAGTCTATATGTGTATAAACTTTTATGGTTTATATATTTATAATATGAATTAATTTGATTAATATAAGTTCTTTTCGTTATATACAGTGTTATAATATATCATTTGGTTAATTATAAGTTATGATTAGGTTAATATTAGTTTCATATCTGATATGGTTTTACATGAGTAATTTTTAATTTAGTTAATAGCTTAAATGATCGATGCTGACATTTTGCTTTTGCAGGCTTTCAATCATACTGCAGAGTATGATACTGCTATTTCCAGTTACTTCAGGGGTGAATTTAGCCAGGGAGTGTCTCAATTATCGCTTAGATATGGCATGAATCCCCACCAGAAGCCAGCTCAAATCTTTACAACAGGCGACAAACTTCCCTTTAAAGTTTTAAATGGATCTCCTGGATTCATCAATTTATGTGATGCTTTAAATGCATGGCAATTGGTATCTGAATTGAGAAAAAGTTTAGATTTACCTGCTGCAGCTTCATTTAAACACGTCAGTCCCGCAGGTGCTGCTGTTGCTGTACCTCTTACTTCCGAGGAAGCCAAAGTTTGCATGGTAGATGATTTATATGAAATATTAACTCCAGTATCAACTGCTTATGCCAGGGCAAGAGGTAATTTTTCTTTTTAAGAAGTTAAAATCCCTTTTTTGTTTTTAGTTTTATAAAAATTTTTTTTATCTATGTGTCTCTTTAATTTGTGAACCTCTCTCATTTAACTTTCTTTACTATTATCTATAATTTTTAAAACATTGTTAGTTTCTTGCAAATTTTTAATAATTGTTAAACTTTTAATAACTAATAATTGTAAATTTTTAAGTAACTTCTCAAATAAAAAAGAAAATTTTTTCTTTGTTAACTTAAGATAATCTATCAAAGTATTTCTGGTTATCAACTATTTATATGAGTATGAAATTGCTAGCAGTTAATACTTCTTTTTTAAACGAAATATCATCTAATGCTGTTATGTGAAGAAAATTACTATGAAGGAGTAATAGAATTTAAATATCTAGGATCACTAGTTACAGAAACTAATGAGATTAAGCTGGAAATCAGAGCAAAGATGGATGCAGGCATTATTACTCTTTACAAAAATAGTTGATCTAGCTGTGTAGGCATTAAACTTAAAAGTCTTAAGTATAATGTGATAATTTAACAAATTGTGCTATAGGGATCTGAGACATGGTCTTTAACAAGAGCAATTCTGATCTTTAAAGAATATAGAGAAAGAATATTTTATGGAAGATTTTAGGCACAATTTGTGAGGACCAAGACAAATAAAGAAATTTATGGTAAATATAAGGAACCAGATACTGTAAAAATTATAAGAATAAAAAAAATTCTAATGGTTTTGACATATTTTAAGATTGGACTGGGAAGTGTTAAAGAAAAGCTGGATCTAAAACCAGGTAGCCGAAAACCAAGATATATAAGTAAATTTTTTCCCCCCAATGCCCACCTGGGGAATGACTTACGTTATACGGACATCTGAAGGGCAGATTTGTTGTCCACTCTTTCAGGGGCACCATATTTGGTGTGCCAATGTTGCTCACACAGTAAGGACAGATAGTACAGAGAAGGAAAGAACATCCATGCCTTGCCTGGGATTCGAACCCAGAACCTTTCTGATGCAAGGGCAGTTCCCTAACCCATACACAGGACGGTCGGCATAGCTAAGTAAATAAAAGGAGCAAATAGAAGAAGACTTGAAATGACTTAAAATTATCAACAACCAAATTATAATGTTTAAGAAATATAACTGCAAGAAAACAAATTACCAACTGCATCTAACAGACAATAATCATACAAAATGATATGGTGATAATTATGGGGAAAATTTACAGTCATAAATATTAATTAGATTTAAAATTTCCTTATTATTAAAGTTTATATTCATTATCTGTATTTTTCCTAAACTTTATAGGTGCTGATAGAATGTCGTCTTTTGGAGATTTTGTAGCACTTTCAGATAAGTGTGATGTTGTAACAGCAAGAATAATTTCTAGAGAGGTTATTATCTCCTTATACTTCTTTTTTTTTTATTCATCATTATTTTTGTTGCTCAACAAGATTGTTTTTATATTTGATTAGGTTTCAGATGGTATTATTGCACCTAGTTATGAGCCTCAAGCTTTGGAAATTCTAAAGAAAAAGAAAAATGGAGGCTATTGTGTTTTAGAGGTACTATAATGTAACTAGATGTAAGTAGAGTATTTTAAACAAATATCTGCATTTTAATAAAACTCTAAATCTTATTTCAGATGGATCCTTCTTACATTCCATCTGATCTTGAAAGTCGAACATTGTTTGGCTTGGCACTTTCCCAAAAAAGGAATGATGCTGTCATAGATAAAACTGTGTTTTCCAATATTATTTCCAAAAATAAAACAGTAAGTCTCAATTTTGTTTATATTAATTTCTACTAAGATGAAAAGGTAATTTACTTTTCATTATCGAAGCTTTATGAATAAAAGCATTTGAACCGAATACATAGTTAATAACATTTTAATTATTATTATTATTTTTTTTATAACGGCAGGCACTGAACTTTTTGTTCTTCGCCATAGAAGATGCCGGAATTGTTACTCATTTAGCGTTACCCAGTGGGTACCTGTGAACCAAAGTCACGGAGGCGAGCAACGTTACCCACGCCATACAGCCACAAACCCGTTCATAGGGTGGGCCACATTCACACAACAGAAGACAACACGGAGAGAGAAACACCCATGCTCAGAGCGGGATCGAACCCGCGGCCGTTGGCTCCGCAGTCAGACACGCTAGCCACTCGGCTACCTGGCCGGCACATTTTAATTATGAAGCCCTTATAGTTTGTGAATTTTTTTTTACTCATTTAGTTTTACATCCTCCTTTCGAAACTGAACTAAAAGTGCTCCTTCCCCCAAAAAAACTATTTTCTCGGAATATTTTTATTTCTAGGCTGTGACTGAACGAAGCTCGTTAAATTTTTTTTGGTCATATTTATGGGCAGTGCTCTCTTAGTTGTGGTGCTTTTGAACTAGACTATGTGACTGAATATTTTCCGATATTAATACTGTTTTGGTTAAGAGTAAAACTCACTATTTTTTTAAAGCAAAACATTTTGTTAGCAGTTTCTAGATTTGTTTAATAGGGATCTAATACTTCTAACGATTACGAAGCCATTGGCGAATGTTTATATTGGGTTCTTGCCATGGCTGTTTCAAGCAGCTTATCTGAGAGACTTTTCCAGATAATCATCTTGTATGTAGCCATCCTCTCGTTTCCTTCTGACTTATGAATAATTGTTTTTACAAGCCTTATGACTAAAGGTAGATAGAGTAATTTATTAGTTTTGTAAAGCAAATAAAAATGTTACTTTTTATCTAAAATTTAATTTTATCCATATTTCCACTTTAGAATGCTTTGAATAATTACTAAAGTTAATTTGTTTTGTTTAGATTCCATCTAATGGTGTTACAGATTTAATTGTTGCTACTTTAGCTGTGAAATATACACAATCTAACTCTGTTTGTTATGCTAAAAATGGACAAGTAAGTGTAATGATTCTTTTTAAGTCTGTTATAAAATATTGAATTACATTAATATCAAAGTAATATTAACTATTTCGAAAATATGAATAGTTTGTGTGGCACCACGTAACCTTTAAGATTGCTATGATAATGAATCTGATTTTTCACTAATTGGCTACTTCTACTGCCACACTACCTCTGTAGTGACATTCCTCTATTTAAAAAAATTTAGATCAGTGTTTTTTAGATTATTGAAATATTTTAGTTATTTTTCAAGGTTATTCTTTATAGTTCTTTTCTCTCTTTATATTTTCTTTGAATAATTTTCTAAAATTGTCATATCATATATTTAAAATAATTTAGCATATTTTTTATAAGCAAATAACATATTTTTGTTTTTAATGAAATTAAGATTTAAGTTTTATGCCTTATATTCCATTTGTAAAATTCTATTTTTTTTTAATATTAAAGGTTATTGGTACTGGAGCTGGTCAACAGTCTAGAATTCACTGTACTAGGTTAGCTGGTGACAAAGCCAATCTCTGGTGAGAAAAATGTACAATAGAAACTATTTATTGTGGGTTTTAGTGCAAAAAGTTACCAAGTCAGTTATTGGCAAGAATGAGATAACGTAGTTAAATTATTCAAACGGAAGAAGACAGCCCAAATCAATATGCAGCTTTAGACAATAAACTTTTTCCTAAAAAAAAAGTGACTGGTTTATACGACCAAGACAGTTTTGCTAATTATGTCATTTACAAACCTTGGTAATTTTTAGCCATATGTGTGTCTCCATAAATTCATTTGTGTAATGTTGAATATATTACTGTTAAAAATGAAATTTGCTTTAGATTAGTATTTTTTTTTTCTTTTTAAAAATTAGTTTTTAATTAAGATGGTTGTATATTTCAGATCTGTTTTATTCTGTAAGATACGATGAATTGTTATTTTAATTAAAATCAAAGAAAACTTTATCAAATATTTAATTTAATTTATTTAGTCAAATATNCCCGCGGGCCGCAGGTTGTGCACCCCTACTTTATAAGAAAAAAAGAAAAACCTGGAAATTTTAAGATTTTTATCTGGAAAACCTGCAAAAATCAGGGAAATTTGAAATCTGATTTGAGTGGCCACCCTGATATGCATCATTGAAGTTTTTTCTACCATAAAAACAAATATCCGTAGTAATTTTTATTATCTTCTACTTTACTTTATTCTTAGTTGCCCTTGAAAACATTCCATCTTTTTGTCTGTCTTTATATTCTTCACCCCTCTTTTTTTTTTCTTCATCAGATATAGCTTTTATCGCCGTTCCATTTTCATCCTCTTGACTATTTTATAACCGGTGTTGAACATCCAACCCAATTTTTAGTGCACAACTATCAAAGTTCAACTCTATAGTCTTGTAATTTTGAACCTATTCTAGAAAACTCCTAGATCAAACATTGGGACAAACTAGCAGCCTTTGTGGAGGATTTTTTGAGGGAACTAACCCACATTTGCATTAAATGGAGAGGAAAACCTTCCGCTTATTGTCTGACAGTAAGGGGATTCTAACCCATGATCTGTCTACTACTGAGAATATTTTATGTCAGCACTGTCGTTGGTGCAAGCCGGAAGCAGATATTGTATCAATCAGTCAATGCTGGGATTTGAACCTTAGTCACTTTATTGGGAGGCGAGTGTTCTATTCCATGAGTCACTGCTGCTCCCTCAATAAGGAAGAGTCCTATTGATTGTAATAAATATTTTACTCTGAAAATTTGGCACAGCATAGCCACATCTGATATTTTCTTAGAACGATACATAGTAAATATTCAACTTCAATTGCAAAACTTCAGGCTGTCAAACCTTTGTGTTGCATCCCTTTGTGATACATAGTAAATATTCAACTTTAAATGCAAAACTTCAGGTTGTCAATCCTTTGTGTTGTAATTCATGTTTGTGAAATAAAAAAAAATCTTTATTGCAAAATCTTTTCAGGTTTAGAAATATATCTTCCAAGTTTTAATTAACCTGTAAGATTTTGAGATGATTCCTATAAAATTATTTTTTGTGAAGGCAATTTTGTGATACTGTGTGTTGATGATAGTGTAGCTCACAAAAAAGGTTATTATTAAAAAAAAAAAATACATAATGAATAATAACCCCAAAGCAGCTTGTAGTTATTGCTGTGTTTGTAAAAGTTACTAGTTTTATTCAAGGATTGTTAACAATCATGTTAAAAGGATGAATAATTGTCATCTTTATTAGTAAAATTTCATAAAATCAATTTGCATTTAAAAATTCTATATAAAAAAAATTTCAAGCTTATTTTGATTTACTATTTTAGCCTGATTTATTTGTTATTTCTAATTAAAATATCTCAGCTTATTAAAATAAAATAGTTTGAACCTTTCATTAAACTGTTTTATAAATTTTATTGCCTTTTTATTTTGAAAAATTAATGTAAAGAAACGAAAACTCATTTATAATNAATATATCTTCCAAGTTTTAATTAACCTGTAAGATTTTGAGATGATTCCTATAAAATTATTTTTTGTGAAGGCAATTTTGTGATACTGTGTGTTGATGATAGTGTAGCTCATTTATAATAAAATTGAAACCATAAAATTTTGAATTATAAATGATAAAAAATTGAATTTAAGCTTACTAATATTTATTTTATTTACATGGAGAAAAAAAAAGCATGTATTCTTACCCAGGTGTATTTTTACAATCTTAGACACCTAAAAAAATCATTGTTAGCATTCAATATTTTAGTAAAATGTTACATGTTTTTTTTTTTTTAAAAAAAAGAAAGATCATTACTTTTGGAGGTAAAGAAAAGATTTAATGTCTGCAAAAATAAGATATTATGAATAGCGTACTAGTTTCCTTTCCATAACATGTTGGCTTTTAAAAATAGACCCTTGCTCCCACATGCCTTGTTTTTTCAACAAAAAAGTTTTTGACTTTTTTTGCTCTTATTCAAAACACATAAAATATTTTTTGTTGAAAAAAAATTACATTGTCCTTTTCATTTTTTTTTTATTAATTCACATTTTTTACCCCTAATATTAGTGAATAATTTTCCGTACAAAATGTAGAAAAAAAAATTAGTTATCTTTTTTTAAGTGCAATAGGTTATTTTTGAGAACGTTTTTAAAATATAAGATAATAAATAAAAATAGGATGCAAATTACATTTGAAAGCATATTAACTACACTTATTTATTTCTTCAGGAATAACTACGACAGAAATGTAGCTAAATGCTATGTGTTTATTCACCTTTTTGAGTCAGTTTGGTCATTTAAAAAGAACTCTTTTTCATTTTTGGAAATAAGTTTTAACCTTTATTTCATATTTTTATTGGTGAATTGTATTTTTTATATTTTTGATAGGTGGCTTCGTCATCACCCTAAGGTTCTTGGCATGGAATTTAAAAAAGGAGTAAAGAGGGCAGAGATTTCTAATATTATTGATGTTTTTGTTGGTGGCACTTTTGGAAAAGTAAATCTGAGAAATTATTTGCTATTTAATTCAAAGATTTTTTATTTTCCCTTTGAAAATATATTTTTTGATCTTATATTATTATTTTACTTCTATTGTTTTCCAATTATTCTAATTTTACAAGGCACTCTTTTTTTTAAAGCACTCTATATTTTTACTGATTATTAAATTTTAATTTGGTATAGACTTTGGTTCTTGTCTTGTAAAAACCACTATTATATATATTTTTTTAAGCTAAGAAAACAATCTTCAGAATTGTATAGTAGAGCGCCGATTGTCCGAACGTCCAATTATCCAAACTATGTCTGAATTTTTTTTTCCTCTGGAGTTTAGAATACTTTTTAACTTATCAACAATTTTTCTAAATTTCTGAACCAGTAGATCTTCCGGATGATAAGATGCCAGGTTATGCAGCAGAAGAGATAGAAGACTGGTGTCGAGACACTGAAAACGTTCCAGGATTTCAAATTTTAAATGATGATGAAATTGTTGCCGAAATTTTGCATGAAATTCGGAACTCCACAGAGGAGGAGGAAGAAGTAGGTGATCAAGTTTAAGATAGTGAACCTTTTCATATAGAAGAATACAATGCATTAGATATTGCAATAAATTGGCTAGAACGTCAAAATGATGTTGATCCAGTTCAATTGATTTATTTAAAAAGAATAAGGGATATGGCTGCTCAAAAAAGAGCATCTTCTTTGAAACAAAAGTCTTTGCTGGATTTCTTTTGCAATAGAAAATAAAGAAAATGTGGTTAAAACCAGTAATTGACAAAAAAAAAATCATAAAAAAGCTGAAATATGATAAAAAAATTCAAAATGGAAAAAAAGTTTTTAAAAAAATAAATAAAAAAATTTACAAAAAAACCCCTTTTAAACAGAGTTATTTTAGATAGTACTGCTATTCCTAAACCTGGAAAAAGTGTGAAGGGAAGTAAGATAATGCCTAAGAATTTCCTTTCCCTATTTTAGTGTTGCTTATTTTGTTTTTTTGTGAATTTTAACAAGAGACTATATTTTCAATTGTTAATATTTTACTCTCTTAATAAACCATTTCATTTTAGGATATGCCCTTAGAGATCTATCAAAATTCCCTCGTTAATCCTCCAACACCTCTAACACAGGTAAGTAGCTGAGCACTGGCTTTGAATGTATGTGTATTTCTTTAAATGAGTATTCATGTTATGTTAAAAAAATATTTTATAGTCAGAAAAAGAGGAATGGATTAAACAGTTGAAAGGTGTTTCCCTCAGCTCAGATGCTTTCTTTCCCTTCCGTGATAATATTGATCGTGCACAACAAGTAAGCATTTACAATTTTGGGTTAAAACCTGTTTCTATATTTTATGTTTAAGATTTTGATTACATTGAATTAAATTTAGTTAAGATTAAAAATCACTAAACAGCCCAGGTGTTCATTAGCAGTGCAGTAACAAGTAAGCATTTACAATTTTGGGTTAAAACCTGTTTCTATATTTTATGTTTAAGATTTTGATTACATTGAATTAAATTTAGTTAAGATTAAAAATCACTAAACAGCCCAGGTGTTCATTAGCAGTGCAGTAACAAGTAAGCATTTACAATTTTGGGTTAAAACCTGTTTCTATATTTTATGTTTAAGATTTTGATTACATTGAATTAAATTTAGTTAAGATTAAAAATCACTAAACAGCCCAGGTGTTCATTAGCAGTGCAGTAAAAATGTCATATTTAGAAAAGCTTTATCTGGATAATTTAATGGCAATTCACTCATGAAAATTTTAGCTTTTCTCATTAATTTTTATTCAAATTGATAGTGTGATGCTATATATACTAATCTGCCATTTTTAGCAAGGAGGCAGTGCCTCCTTATTTAGAACAGTAGTATTATAAGGAAAATGTTAATAAAATCATAAATTTTTTAGCAATTTTAACAAAAGAAAATAAAAAGCAATTGTAAAGCCAGAGAGAGGAAAAAGATAAGACAGCAATTTTCAAATTAGTTTTATGGTTATTTTTTAATATTGATCATTAGTGTTAAAAGTATGGCAAAATGATTTTACAACAGTTAAAGGGTTTTTCTTATCAATTAGATCTTTATAATGCATTGAATATTTTTAAAAAGTATCTTTTTTAATAATTTACCTAATTTAATGATTAAATTTAAATGATCCTTAAAAGCAACTAAGAGGAAAAACCCAAAATATTTTTTCAACACCTGAAGTTTTTGTTTTTTCAGACAAGTTATTAAATCGTCAGGAAATAAAATTTAAAATATTTTGTTTAGTATTACAGTTGTAAATAATATGAGAATTTGTGATAACATTCGTAGGTTTTATAAAGAAAAATAATCCTCTTTAGAATGTTTGTCATTCGTTAAAATAAAATAAATAAATAATTGATTACAAATACATACTCCATAAGTTCTAAAAATTAAATTTTTGAAATTTGTATGAGTAAGCAATTTTTTAAGGTTACACAATTTTGCTGTCAGATACTATAGTAGATTTAATCAACATATGTTAGTGAACAACTGTTTTCGGTTTTATGCATATTTGGTTTTATGCATTATATATTCGGTTTTATCAAAATTAACTGATGAACACCTGAAATACTTAATATATTTTGCATCTTCAAAAACTATATACTTTGACTCAGTAGGAAAGAAAAATTCAAAGGTCATATAAGACTGCTCCGTAATTATTAGGAATCAAATATTTCAAATTTTTTAAATATTTTTGAAATTTTATTTTATAATATGTGTTTTATATCTACTACAACATGAAAACATTCATAATCTGATTGAATCTTCAAAAATGTTGAATTTCTGTTTTATACTATTTTCTTAATCTCAGTTACTCAGAACAACATTAAAAAAAGGTGCTATTTTGTGAAAAATCCATATACCGTTTTTCACCTGCAACTCCTATAGATTATTAATTAAACAATTGAAAATTAAATAGTAAAATAACTTTTTTGTAAAGAAAAATACTTTAATTCATATCTTACCCAGAAATATAAAAATTCTCATAATTTAAGTATCCTTATTACATGAAGAGATTAATTTTAGGCAGTCTGTAATTATTATCTATTTTTTCCGGAAAGACTAAGTAATTTAAATTTTATATCAAAATTTTTTAAAAAAGAAGTTGCTAGTGAATTTGTAATTTTTTTTCTTTCAAATCTGCTTATTCAACAATTTTTAAAAAAAAATATTTTTGAATAAAAAGTTTTAATATTGTATTCATGGTACTTGGTATAATTATTGTGCCTCATCAAAAAGATACTTTAAATTGATTTGTTTATTTTCAATAAATGATAATTTTTAAAATGAAATGTATGGTATTTTAATGTAAATTGCTATGTGTTAATGCTATTTCAGAGTGGTGTTGCATATGTTGTCAGTCCAGGTGGTTCTACCAATGATGAAGCTGTATCTTCTGCTTGTGATGATTATAATATGGTGCTAATTCATAGCAATTTACGCTTGTTCCATCATTAATCTCTATCAGCTATACCATAATCTTATCAGCATCCCTAAATAAAAATTGGACTTCGCATTTGACACAATTATAGAAATCAAAATATTTTTTTGGAATTTAACTCCTTATTACAGTTTTCTCATATTTACTTGAAAAATTAATATTGTTCAATATTTTTGATATTTTCCAATTATCTTGTTATTTTTTTAAAAAAGTGAATAAAATATTGTTATACTATTGTGTGCGCTTAGTTTATAACAAAGTTACAGATTAATTTTTTTTCCATCCAATTCAACATATTTAAAATAAGATCATATTGGTAAGATTTGTTTTAAAAAAAATCAGATGATTCATTAATTTTATATATAAAAAAAGATGCTACCAGTAAATGAGCACAACAAAATACCATACCCAAATCAGTACATTGCATTCAGTTTTGATTAAATCCTGTTCTTAATGTTTTAAATTTATTTTATATAATTTTTTTTAATTCCAATATTTTAAAATGCTCTTATTATTCTGTACATGTATGTGTACTTTAAAAAGAAAATAATGAACCAATGTTCTAGAAAACCCAGAGTTAATTGGTACCAAAGAATAATGAGTGAAGTATATATATTTTTTTACAGTTGATATCTCTAATTTTATTATCTCTGATAAGTTATAAAAAAATTTAGTTGGAGACTTACTTTTTTCACTCAGTACTTTAAAATGCTTTTGAAATAATGCAAGCACTAAATCATTTAAAATACATAAAACAGCATTTTTACATAAGTAATCACATTATTTTATAAATTTTAAAACTTAAGATAAAAAAATACTTCATTTTAGAGTGAGTTTTAGGTATTGCGTCAGAGTTGATATCCAAGGGAAGAAAGGTTAATATAAGTTCATTTCTGAAAATGCACTACACAAACAAACATAGCCTTGATCATTGTAGTAAATCATAAAATTTAACCAAGATTTTGATGTTGCATGCAATGAGGAAATAATATCAAGGTGGATGAAATAAAAGCAATAACAGTTCAAATAATATGTAAGGAGTGCATTTATATTAATATTTTATTTAAAGCTTTTAGTATACATCACTGAACATTCATTATCACAACAAAATTAAATATATTTGCAATATCAATCAGACAAATTTTTTTTAATAAAAATTTCATATTTAATAGAGGTAATATCACAAGGCAGTCTGTATAAAAACGTTAACATCATTTAGTGTATAAAATAAGATTACTGCCATTTTTTTTAAAAATGGATCAAGACTAAATTATAAAAATGTTCCACTATCTTAAAATATTTATTTTTTTGTAACTACGTAAATTTATCAGACTAAAACAATTTTAAAAAGAAAAAAAAACAGCAAAAAAAATTCTCAGTAATATTTTAGTATATAATAAATGATGTAAGTAATATTTAAGAACACAAAACATCACACAGCTCTTAAAATAACAAAAAATATATTTTCTACTAAAGTTAACATTTTATTGCATTTATAAATTCGTAATAATTTGTAAATTAAAATGGAAGCAATGTACAAATTTTTTATCTATGTTAAAGTAACAATAAGTTACTTTTAAAAAACAAAAATTCCTAATTAAGGGCACACATGTTTTTCAAATCTAATGAAATTCAAAATTGATAACTGCTAATTAACACAATATTTTCATTTATTTTTAAATGTATTCCTTTGAATAAGTGGTGCATGAAAATATCTAGAATAAAAATCAATACTTTTTCTTCATGAATTACCTATACAGCTACAACAATCCAAATCTGATGATTGAGCAATTGAAGTAGAGCAACTCATTATATCATTCTTCTAATAGTAATATGTTGTTTAAAAATTATACATGAAATTGTGTGTCTCTATTTATTATAGATAATCTTAACTAAAAAAATGTGTATGAAATTAAAAAATCATCGATAGATTAAGTTATTAGTTAATTCAACATATAATAACTTGAATACAGAGCTTAAAATAGCTATGTTGTTACAAATTTGATTAAGAATATAATAATATTCAATACTTGAGAAAAGATTTTAAAAGTTTTCTGAGCTTTTTGGATGAACCTAAGAATAATAACTGAAACAAATACTTTAGCAAATTGAAAGAAAAAGAAAGTTTCAAATTTTATAACAAAAAAAAAAATTAAGTAGACTCAATCAATTAGTATAAGATTGTGCAGGTTGTCCGGGATGGCTCTAAATAGGTTGGAGGTACTCCAAACTACTCAACCTTTTCGTATTCTTGTTCAGCAAAGATTTTGCTGATATTAAGAAATAAATACAATGGGCATAACATTACAATTGTCATATACTGTTTCTCAATTTAAAAAATTTCAATACTAATTAAGTAGCTTAGAAATTTGTTCAAAAAATAACATTTAAATAAATAAAATCATATAATGTTTAAACTATGAACATTTTGATAAATTGATTTAAAGCACATTACAAAGATACTGAGTATAAATGGTTATGTACTGTTAAAGGGGGGTTTATTTCTGTAAACTAATTCATAGAAATCATCCAAAACTGCAATATCTTTCAACTTTTCAATAGAATATCGACTACCTCGAACAGTTAGTCTTAAGTAATAATCATTTTGTCTACCTTGGTAGTTTCTAAATTCAATCTCTTTCAGCCTAGTGTACTTAATCAAGTAATTCCTTACTTCATTTTCTTCTTTCAGCAACTTTTTAGTAAATTCATAATTGTATGGAATACTTTTATCATTCAAAGACAAAGTAATTACTTCAATGATGTTATCCTGAGCTTTGTAAAAAACTGTTTCCGCATACTCTCCGGCTTCATTAGGAATACCTAAATACTGTGGATTATATGTACAAGCTATTTTGATTAAAGTTATCCACGCAAGTAAACCCACCTCTTGCATGGCAGGAGAACATCTGGTAGGATGTGCACCAATCTTAGCAATTTCAAGTATTGTCCGAATGATGTAATAACAAGGAGAAATTGCTTTCTTTATATCATTTTCCTTTTTTAACTTCTCAATGTATTTCCAATCACAACAAGTCGCTATCTTAGAGGTTAATTTGTCAAATTGGACACCAAAAATTTTTTCAATTTCTTTAAAATTGTAATCAGAAAAATGCTCCCTTTGTGATTTAATCCATTTAGTGAGAACTTTATAAGCTAAGTCTAACATATCAAGCCTGTTTTCATAGATTACTTCGGAATCTGTTTCAGGTGTTAATTCTACTGGCATGTGTTTTGCAATACTTTTGTCTATAACATTTTCAAGAATTGTTTTTGGGTTGATCATTGTCGGATCTTTCTTATTTTTATTCTTGAGATCAACAAGTACATCAGTAACTGCCCATGGAAGTCCAAAATATGAAGAACCTTCGGTTTTGGATTTACCATAGCTTATCATATACCAGGCGCTAGCTTTTTGATGCATTGCATCAGTAAACACCCCATTCTGAGGTTTACCACCAAACTCGTTAAAGAATTTAAATTGAAAGTCTCGAAAAATGAACTGAATTTCATACTCTAGAAGTGCCATCAAATTCATCATATCATGTCTATTGTCATAATGTTTTGGTGGGTTAATAAAAGCGCCAGCCAGTAACTGCCCCTCATTTTCAAAACCATAGTTTCTTAAGAACATTTTAATTTTGTTAGAGTACTGTTTCAGCATTCGTTCAGCTGATTTCTTGTATTTTTTATCCCAATCTTTATGCTGCAATTCTGAATCCAAGATGTAATCAATTTCATTTCTTTCTGTATCTAACCCTAGCTCAAGTTTTTTGCAGCTTCGAAATAAATGTCCAAGAGCTTTTGTAGACAAATAAGTCAGCTGTTCATTCCATTTTTCCATAAAATCAGGGTACTTAAATGCTCTATCCCTACCTATCTTTATACTTTGACCAGATTTAGCAAAATCTAAAGATATTGAATACTTTTTGGCAAGACGAATGCATTTGTCTGAAAATATGCCATTATTTATATTATCTGCATGGACTAAGTGAGCATTGGCGATTCTACCAACATCATCATTGAAAATAAAATTTCCAAAATGATCTAATTCATCTTTGGGCTGAAATAAAATGAAATTTGTATTAAAATTCCATGAAAAAAGTGAAGAGTTACAAAGTACATAGATGCAGGAGAGCGTCATTTATTTGAGGTGATAAGAATTGAACATACTTTACACCAATTAAACATCATCAGAGCTCATACCTTTAACAATTATGTACTGTAGAATTCCTAATATCAAATAATCGTGAGACATGGGGATTGTCAGAAAATTTAAATTGTAGGTTAATCAGATGTTGATTCATTAGATACTTTTTCTAAGTGTGCAAACATAAAGTGAAATAGATACCCATTAACATAAAAGGAATTGGTACAAACAGAGTTGGCATTTTGTCCTGAAGAAACCTATTTCATCCACAACTCTGGGAGACACTGGACAAAATAGAAGAAATTAAAAATGACCAATGCAATTCTTAAACAATTAATAATTAATATAACACCTTAAAATAATAATAAATACATTAGCTATGTTTGAATAAATTAAATTTAATATAGAACTAAAAAGTTATTCAAAACTCCTTAAAAAACAACTTATTTTCCTATTTATTTTTATAGTTTTAGAGAGAATGTTAAAATCCATAAATTTTAATATGCTTGAGAGTTGTTTTGAGTATTTATACTTAAGACAGTTTGATTATACTTCTATGGTCCGAATAGCAATGGAGATTATGTTGCAGGATTTCTATATGGCGAGTACAAAAAACTGCAGCAAATATTTACACATAAATCATTGGACTTAANTTTTTTTAAAAATTATAATCAGACAAGTCAATTTTGTCATTTTTTCGATACTTTGAGAATTGAGAAGGATTTTTTTCCATTTTTCGCTGTTTTTATTATAATCCAGCATTTCATCAGAAAGTCTCATACTATTAATTTATTATCACTCTTTCCCTGTACTGTAATATAAATAACCAGTAACATAGAAAGTGTGATTTTCAGTATTAAAATGTTGTTTCAGGAACTAAGAAAAATTTGTTTTTTCAGTTTTTGTTTTTTAGGTATTTTTATTATGACTCAGCATTTTATTTTTAAAATAAAGTTACTAACAAAATTTATTTTATAGCAAGTTTTTTTCTTCTAAAATCATGGCAATGAGAAAAATTTAAATTGAGATTTTCGGCTTAAGATTTTCATTTAAAAAATTAAAAACGTTTTCTATCTTTTTATTTTCTTTAAATAAAAAAAAAACTTTTTTTAGACATTTTCCTTATAACACAGTAATTTTTAATAGCATTTTTGTTGACTTAATTCTTTTTTCTTTGCTTTTTCTTCTAATTGAAAAACTAAGATGTTCAGCTTTAAAAATTTTTTCCAAAAATTAAGATTGATTTTTATGTTCTCTGTTTCGCTTTTCAACATTTTCAAAAAACGTTCTTGATTGGCCTTATTTTTTAGAGTTAATTTATGAATGCGTTTTTCCAGGAAATATTATTCTGAGCATTGAAATTTTAGTTTCAGTGTTGCTATGCTGCTAAAAGATTTTGCTATTGGGCCCCAAGTGTACGGCGTTCAGTTGATTTTTTTTTATACTTTTTTTTTTGTTGAATATTTGGTTTTTGATCAAATCACAATTCATTACCACATTCGACCAAATCATATTCGTTGCGGAAATAAAAACATTGAGGAAATAAAAACGAAGGAAAAATTGCTAGGATTTATGATAAAACTATACTGAAATACCGTATCAAAAAGGGATTATTTAATTGCGCGATTAACAATCACGTGTCGTAATAACATCTAGTTAAACAACAGGATCGTCAAAATCATGTGGAAAAGTATAGAAATAATTGGGAAAAAATATATTTATGCTAAACTCATCACGAATAAAGCGTGTTAAATGCATGATTTAAAATGTGTGTCGTAATAGAACAATTTGAATTTTTTATAATACATGGGAACGCATAGCAATAACTGCCGAAAAAAATTGTGGAAAAAAAGAAAGAATTGCAAAAAAAAGATAAAAAATCACTTAGATTTAAGATGAAATCGTCACAAATAAAGTGCACAAAAAGTGACTATTTAAATTTGCGATCTGAAACTCGCGTCGTAATAAAAATTCCGGGTTTTCGAAATCACGTAGAAAATCAGAAATAACTTTTAAAAAAATTATTTATATTTACGATAAAATCGGCTTAAACGTACATTTACTAAAGAATCTGTTATAATTGATTGGGTCAAAACGTGCTGACTTAAAAGTGCGATTAAAAATTGCCATTTTAAATTTTTTTTTTTTATTGTGTTTAGAAGCTCTCGCGGGCCGCACTTCAGCAGTCGAAGGGCTGCATTTGGCCCGCGGGTTGTGCACCCCTAGGTTAGATAGACTCAAAAAGTTTCATGATCCTTGTCAATGAACTTCCACATGTGCCCCCATCGCTAGGGGAATATCAAGTCGATAGTCAATTTCACGCCAGGTAGCGGCAAGCATGTCGGCAATCACAGAGGCTATTGCGGTTGTAATTCTGGTTTTTAGGTCATAAATGTTCGACACTATCCTCCTCTAAACATTGTCCTTTATAAATCCCCAAAGAAAAAAGTCCAGCGGAGTTATATAGGTGATCTGGGTGGCCAAGGAATTGGACCTCCTCGCCCAATCCATCATCCTGGAAAATGGTAATTCAAAGAACTACGAACGATGATACCCCAATGAGGTGGTGCACCATCTTGCTACAAAAAGACATGTGGCTGAAGCTCTTCTAGTTGTGGAAATACGAAGTTTTTCAATATGTCTAAGTATATGACTAAAAAAGAAAGCTACCTGGCGTGAAATTGACTATCGACTTGATATTCTCCGTGCCGTGGAAGTTCATTAACAAGGGTCATGAAACTTTTTGAGTCTATCTAACCATTTATTTTATTGATCTTGTTGTCAACCATTTGTTTTATTGATTTATTTTATCTATCTTTATTATTTTATGAGTTATTAAACATCAAAATGGGTCCGGGACTTCATAAACACCCTGTATTTTGTGAAACTACCGTTTTTTCTAAAGTTGAATTTGTGAAGGTACCGCTGAATGGTAGTAAATTTGGCCTGGACAGATCCCTGATCCTGATCCATTATCATAAAAGGAATTGGTACAAGCAGAGTTGGCATTTTGTCCTGAAGAAACTTATTTCACCCACAACTCAGGGAGAAACTGGACAAAATAGAGGAAATTAAAAATGACCAATGCAATTCTTAAACAATAAGTAAGTAATTAATAAATACATTTAATATAGAACTAAAAAGTTTTTCACAACTCCTTAAAAAAAAAACTTATTTTCCTATTTATTTTTATAGTTTTAGAGAGAATGTTAAAATCCATAAATTTTAATGCTTGAGAGTTGTTTAGAGTATTCATACTTAAGAGAGTTTGATTATACTTCTATGGTCCGAATAGCAATGGAGGTTATGTTGCAGGATTTCTATATGGCGAGTACAAAAAACTGCAGCAAATATTTACACATAAATCTTTGAACTTATTATGGTAAAAACATTCTTCTGTCCAATTCTTCTAACTCATCAAATTATCTTCGATAAAATTTTTTGATTTCTACTTTAAGCACAGTGTTAAGCTACACTGGTTTCAAGCAGCACCATTTTGATATATATCAATGTAATTACCCATTTCGAACTTTGTATTTATTTAAAAATCATAACTTAGTTAAAATCGTTTTCAGCATTAGATTTCTGAATTGGCGTGTCCGCCTCCTAAGCAGACACCTCTCATAACAAATATTTTTCTCTGTCCCAAAAATATTCTCTTTACCAAGATTTCCTAGCATTTAAATTCTGCCTACATAAAATATATCATGCCTAAATCATAATCAAAAGCTGGATCATTAAGGCACTGAAGAAAAATACATAGATTTCAAAAACAACAACTAATGAATAGTTTTAATTTCCACACTATTTAATATATCATTTTTTAAAAATGTGGAAACTAAAAAGCAAGAATTAAAAAGAAAATTAACAAGTTTAAGAAATTAAAATAAATACAGTCCTTTAATATTTCACATCAATGAAAGTAGTAAAACCTGATTTTATAATTACATAAAGAACTGTTAAAATATAATAATCAAACTTTATTTATACTACTAAATTAATAAATCATTTACTAAACATATAACTACGTATCACACATTGAGTTAATTAGAAATAGCAAACTAAATTGTAAAATCAAATACTGTGCAGTAGAAATAATTAAACCGACTATTAAATAATATGATTATTGAGTTTAAAATTCTGAATGAAACTAAAACATATTTTAATAGAGTTGATATGAAAAAATTTCTGGTACTTTATTTCATTGAATTTAAGCTGTTTTTAAAATACTTATTGTTCAACAACTGTAATGATCATTTTTAGTTTCTTCCATTTTGTCTTGTTTTTTCCAATGTCTTGGGAAGAAATAAGTTCTTTCCAGAGAAATGGCTAACCCTACTTGATGGAAAAGTTGGTCAAAAATATAAAGGTTAACATCAAACTTTATTTACTCTCAATCACAATCTCAGTGCAATTCAGGCACACTTTTATTTTGTTAAATCTTAAGAGTCTGGTAATGGGCTTAATCAAATAATTACACAATTTCATAGAAGACAATTAAATAAAATATATATTTACCTAATAATTTATTTTTAAGATAAATAAAATGATACCTACTTCAACAGGCTTTACTAAGTCTTCCTTCTTATCTTTAAGAGCAAAATCCATAGGCTTCTCATTATCACGAGGAAAAATTAATGATGAAAGCCATATTGCAGTATATTCATCACCATCCAAATCAGAACCTTAAATAATTTAAAAAAAATCAAATTAATCTAGATATCTATTTAATAAAATGCATCTTACTATATCTAAAACTTTAGTAGTTACAGTACAAGGTTAGCAGTGGTAACCTAAACCTGAAAATTTCAAAAAATCAAGGATGACCAAATAAGATGTTGGAACAGTGAAGTGGTGCTTTAGTCTTAGTAAAGTACATCATATCAGTAAAGTGTTTCTACTGCTCTAAATCATGTTCACAAAAAGTGATCAGCAGTTATGGATTAATTTCAAGGCTGTCCTAAGCAGAAAAGCATTAAGCCAGAAAGCATTACTGAATAAATCGGTTACCAATGAGTCAAGATGATTTAGTACTGGTCAGGTTGTGAGTGGAGATTTGAACTGCATAGGTAGGCTATCTATTTCTCAAAATCACACTGACTTATATTAATTTTTAATTATTAATATTTTTTTAGGTATTTAATCAGGGAACAATAAGATAAAACTTAAAAGTTAAAGACACTAAAAGTAGGGGAAAGAGAAGAAAAATTCAAAATTATTCAGATCTGTGCTAAAATAATGACATTTAGAGAATTATTAAAATTAGGGGAGACTCTCTCAAAATGAGAAAAATTATTTGACATATTTTATTGAAAATATAGATTTAAATTTCAAAAAAATAGTAACACAGAAAAAAAAAGGATTTTTATAATTAGGAATCACTTCTAAAAGATTTCAAATTCATACTAGTACATGTTAAGGACTGCTGCTATAAGGGAACCATAATTTCCATTAAATAACAGCATAGAATTATGAGACTGTTGATGCCAAACATTTAATAAAGATCATACATGTTATTCATACACAATCTAGGTGTCTATCAATTATATTAAAAATTAAAAAAAAAAAAAAAAGATTGAAAAAAAAATATATATAGATATTGATATATCAAACAGAATCAATGATAATAGGCCATAATAGTAAAAGACAAAAATTATGAAAAAGATCAATGTTAAAAATCATAAGTAAATTTTAATATTCAAATTTTAATTTAATTTTATTTGAGATTTTTAATGCAAGTTTTTTTCTTATTCTGAAAAAAATAAACACTAAAAGACAGGAAAAGAATCAATTTTGCATCACACATTTAATGAAAACAAAATTCAATTAAGAACTATAAAGTTCCTATTTTTTTAGCTTTCAGATTTTATAAAAGAAATTACTCAGGATAAATGAACTATTTTTAAGGTTCAGTGGTGAGAAGAGAAAGGACGGTATGAGATTGCAATATTTAATTACCTGCCATCTCATCGGGGTGTGGTCTTGGACCATTTGCAGGAAACACTATGCAATCTACAATGTGGTGTAAATCTTCAACGTCAATAGCATTAAATTTTCGAACGTCCCCAGGATGCATGCAAGGATTTTTAGTCACTAGTACAGTTCCTATAAATTAATATATATTTTAAAATATTAAAATCTAGGCAATTCAGCTTTCAACATCAACAAAATGTATAAAAAGATTTTTGGTCATCAGTAGAGTTGCAGCAACTTTTAAAAAGGTATTTAACATATAGACTTCAAAATTACATATATTATTAGAAAAAAAACTTAAACAAATAATGTATATACTTTGCATTTTAAAAATAATTATATCTTAAATGAACATTGTCTAACAAATGTCTCTCACAAATGAAATGTTATACATTGTGCTATTCAATTCCATAGCCTTTGAATTAAAATTTATAAATAAATGTATCACGTTATTCCATAGTTTTTCATTGAAGATCCCACACATATGAGCATTTATTTTTCATAATTTCATTAGAAAATGCATGTGATTTATTACATGATTTGCTCGAAAAAAAAACTATCAAAATATGTTTAAGATAATTTTAATTTTAAGTTCTGATAAAATGGTAGCACACATGTTTAAAGAAAAAAAACTATCTATCATATTACTTCTATAGACATAGTTTTTTAATTAGTTATTTTTATGCAAATTTATTATATTTCCCTAAATAAAAATAATTTTAAGTTTTTATTTATATCCTGTTTGCAATCACATACAAAGTTTTAATTCAAAAGCAGTCATTAAAAATATTTGTTCGAAACAAATATGGTAGGAACAGTTTTAAAGTTACTGTAAATATAAAAGCAATTATTTCTTTTTGTGGGCGTTGAACAATAAAGAAAAAATACATTTTTTAAGTTGTTTTTAAAAGGACAAAATAGAAATTTTTTCAAGGTGAAATATAATTTTAGAACAAATAAAACTGTTTAGGCAGCGAAAAAATCATTTGGAGACATTTTTTATGATTTCTAAAATAAAATTGACGTCTTTTTTTCAAAAATTCAATTTACATAGTCAATTACAAGTCATAATATGAATTTTGAAGATTTTTTTTCAACTACTAAAACTCTTCTTTGTATTGTCAGAAACAAAAGGAAACATGATACATTAATCATAACATACAATCAAAAATAAAATGTTTTGACATCTGAAAGGATAAAAATAATTGTGGCACACAATGGAATTTAAAAAAAAGAATTGCTGGTTGCTCTTTTTGTGTGCTATTGTACACAAAGAATGGTCAAGAGCTGTCACAGCTGTGATGACAGAACTTACAATATTGTGATCTATTGGGACTTGTCTGGATCTATTAAGACTTGATTGAAAAGTTCAATAAGCACTTTAAAAGGGAAAAAAACTACAATCTCTTGTACTTTAACTTTTTATGGTTTTACTATTCCCCCATTGCAGCCCCTGAGACATATTCAGGGTATCTGCTACATTTCAGATTTTCAAATTCATGCCTTTTCATGATTTTCCATGACTTATTCCAAGAACTTTTCATGACTTTACGAACTAACTATTTTCTCCGACAAAAACGCAGCAATAAATTTAAAAAAGCATTATAATAACATAAATCGAAATGATAGGTATAACCAAAACTGTTATACTCTGCATCTTCATATTTATAGATTTTAAATTTAAAAAGCAGAGTAAAGAGTTGAAACAATAAAATAGCTGAAAAAAATACAACAGCAAAAATTTATTTTTTTCTGCAGAATTAAATTCTAAAGATACTTTTCTTGTTCATCAGAAAGGAAAGAAATACTCCCGATTTTTCTGTTTTCATTTCAGAATAAAAAAATTCGCCAATTCGGTTTGCTTCAACTAGAATTTTAAATTGATAAAATTAAAAAAATAAATAATAAAAATTCTTAAATCACAGAAGCTTAAAAGATAATTCGCTCTAGAAATGATGTTTTTTTTCTTCATTTTTTTAAAGAACACCATAATTTTTAAAGAAGATGATAAAATAATTTTATATTCTAATAAAATATGACTGAGTGGGGGGGGGGATTCCATTTTAAAAATTAGATTTTTCGGAGACCAAAATCCATGACTTCCCATGAATTTTTTTAAAAAAATAGTAAAAATCATGACATTTCATGACGAATTTTGTTGAATACTGAAATTCATGACTTTCCATGATTTTTTATGACTTTCCAGGTGCAGCGGATACTCTGCATATTGAATTATTTTTTAGGTGTCACATATAAGAGGATTGTACCTTACTTTAAATTGTAATGTATTCAATTTTAATTGAGAGTAAAGCATTCAAATGTAATTTAGGCTTGCATATAAAATTGCAAGGAATTCATACAAATGCTAACCACCATACCATCATTTCCTTTTTATGGGGTAGAGAGCAGTAGTACATTCTGAGAATCAAATTTTTGAAAGCTGATTGTAATTTAATTATAAGGTAGGTGATGACATAGAAAAAAAAAAACAATTACATACAACATGTGGAATATAAAAGGGTTTGTGCATAATGTTTATTCACAATTTTGTAATTAGTACATAAAAAGTGCATTATAAAAATAAAAATTAAAACCAATTTTCCATACTTTCAATTTTTCCAAAATTAAATTAATTAATTTGTATTCATCATCAGGCAACGCAAATGAAAAAAGATGCTAGGAATCTAAACTTAATGAATGTTATTTAAATGATGAAAATTCGTAGTTATGATTAGCATATAATCTTTTTAATTCATCATAAAATCAATCTAAGCAATCATCAAAGTTCAAAGTCAAAAAAATTTTTTTCTTTAATATAATTAATCAAGGAAGATAGATTTAGAGAACTTATTTTGTTGTTAAGACAATACAGATATGTAGCGATTTTTACGAAGATGAATTTTAGACTTGATTATAAGGAAATAATAGACTCATAAAATAGACTTTATGCCAAATTACAATGAACTGTATACTGTTATGTATGTTATTCAATTAAAACTTTATGAATTCTCACCTTCCAAAATTATTGGTTTATTAGTTTTCCAATCACTGTATTGGATAAAAACTTCTCCATACTCCAACGTAAAAGTTTCATCCAAAACACCAAAAAAAGTGCGACCTTGATCAATGGGTATCTCAATACTTGCTTTAGTCTTTAGCAGTTCTGTTAAAAAGATAAATTGAGAAAATAGCTTGCCCAGATAATTTTTTTTAAAAGCAAGAATGAAATTGAAAAAAAAAAAAAAAAAAAAAAAAAAANAAAAAAAAAAAAAAAAAAAAAAAAAAAAAAAAAAAAAAAAAAAAAAAAAAATACAAAATTAAATTTGATAAGAACACAAGTTTGTTTAAATTTTAACAGAATATAAATTTTACATTAATTTCCTGTAAGATTATTAAGTTTAGCATATTTATTCTAAACCAGTGGTTTCCATCTGGCGGCTCGGGGGCCGCATTCGGCCCGCGAACTAAAATATATTAGTTGTCATTTTTTCTGCAGACAATTTTCGTAAAAAATCTGTATGGATTAAAATACTTGTTAATAAAAATCTAATTTCTTCATTTCTGTGAAATTTAACATATTAACGGTGCAAAAAAATTTATTTCTCAGGTTTTGCACCGAAGAAAATATTTATTCAAATGCAAAAATAATCGTGTATGTTGCTCTTTTTTATTTCATTTTTTTGTATTTCGTGAACATAATTTAGCTTGTGTGTATCAGAAATTTTCTCGAAAAAATTCTCCAATTTAACTTTTTGAAACCACTCATTTTGGACGAAAATATTTACACACATTTGAAATTTTTTAATTTAAAATGTAAATATCTATTCTCTGGTGGTTGCAGCAGACAAACTTCAATTTTNCAAATAACAAAAAAAGACAAGGGTTCAATTTAAAATATACTAGCATAAGCTGAGAAACTTACCAATTTGTTTCTGAAAAAGTGAATATATCATAGAACGAAACAGTGGATCTTCAGTAAAATGAATTTCAGCCAAATACATTTTGATGAAATCCAGACGAAGTAGAGAATTTCGATTTAAAAACTCACAAGCAGCATTTTCATCAAACATGCTTGTAATGTGATTTTGAATCATTTCCTTTTGCAATTCAAGAAATACTTCTTTGTGCACTCCCAACTGTTCCAAGATGGAAATAAATGGACGATTGAGACATGCAGTGCCTAAAAAGAGAAAAGTTTTGTAATAGCAAATTTTTCAAGTGGAATGAATGCATAAAATTTCTAAATTTTATGTACATTTTTTTCTTTTTGAAACTCAGTCCCCTAGTATCTTTCTTCACTATCAAAGAAATTGAAAAATGGTTCTTTTGAATTTAGCTGGAACCAAAAAAAGTGTGTGAGGATTTGGATCCTTAGCGGATGGTATTTTAAGTTCAAATATGCTTGCAGCAACAAAAGTAATACTGCACAGAAAACTTTTTAATCTATATTTTTTTAATCAATTAGATGATTTGGTTTTGTGAAAAGTAAATACATTATTTAATGCAAAAAACAATTCTAAAAACTTTTCTGCCTCATTAAAAACAATGGGCTCAGAACATTTGCATGAATTAAACATCATATTTACAGAAATGAAAGAACAGAATTGAAAGAACATTTACAGAAATGATATCCAAAGCAAATTGAATTTTACTTTCTTATTATGTAAAATTCAAGAAATTTTTCATTAATATGCTACTGCTAAAAATAAAATCAGATTCAACAGTTTCTCTGCGAAGTTACTCATGATGTCACAACAGAAAAGAACAGATTTTTATCTGTACTGAGGCAAATAAAAAAAAAAAAATTCAAATTTATTCTTTTTTTTAGTAGCTAATGGTTGAGAAAGTCCCCAATCTTTTAATTGTATCAACAAATGTAAAACAGATTTTAATTTCTAAAAAACATTTCTATACTTAATACAATTTTAAATTTGGAACAATTAGAGACAATTTATAGGACGCTAGAAATGATTAAGATTAAGTTTAACAAATAATATACATTCAAAAGTTATAACACGTTATAATAAAGAATTATGTTGTTTACTCAATAACAAACAGTTTAATTGATAAGAGGCATGCATAAAATAAACATAAAATAGTTTTAATTTGTCACTATTCATAATTAAACTTAAGACAGAACATTCAGGTAAAGTTGAGGCCATGGAAACACATAAGAGTTGGAGCACCAGGATAGAAGCCTTATATGCTGACACGTTTTGAAAAATTAAGAAAGAAAAGACTGAAATTATTTCACCAAATGTATCACAACTTAAGATTATTTATTAGTTCACTATTTTAAATCAGAGTAGTTTACAGAAATGGGAAAATAACAAAATCATAGAATTGATTATAACCATAACTATACTGTAAAAAAAAAGAAAGAATCAAAAATAAATTAACATTTATTAGTAAAAAGTTTTGTGTACAAAGAATACTTTAAATGACCAATAATGCTAAATCATAAACTAAACAAAATGTATTTTATATTTTAACTTACGTTTCTCACTAAATTTTAAAATTTCTAATGAATCATGATCAGATTCAAATTTTTTCATGCTTTTTCTAAACATAATTTTCTTTCCTTTTAGCTTGGGATCAACAACTAACATTCCTTTACAGCCAGCATAACGTATTTGCATTGCACATGGTTTAACATCTTCCAATTTGAATTCGTTGTAAATCTAAAACAATATAGTACATAATACATAATTAATTACATCTCAAAATTAATTCGCTATTTCTGAATAAGCGGCATAATAAGACATGGCCTTGGCTGGTGGAGAAGCAATGGGTATAGGTCCCTTTTAATTATTGAAGTTTTCTAAAAGTCTGCCTCAATATTTTATACAAATATATAAAATTTTCACCAATCATTATCAATTTAAATTAAAGTTAAAATCCAGATAGAGATTAATCTTTTTACCAATTCTTAGCAGATTTAATAAATTTTTTTCTTTGAGCGACTATATTTTAAATTCACCCTCCTCAAAAATTGGACACTCATGACCCTCATATAATAAAAACTTTTATAAATGTATTTAACTGCTATATTTGACTTAAGAATATGTAAGTATTTCACAAAAATTACATATTGGAATTGTATGAATTTATCAAGAAATTTCAGACATCAAAGGATAATCAATGCTTTAAAATTATTTCATTTATTTGACAGCAAATTGAAATGAACATTATTAAACATGTTTTCTCAGAACATCTATGATCAATAACCATTCGTGATATTAAAAAACCAGTATACGTTCAAACAATTTTTGATAAAGTGCTTGAAAAATTTAAGTCACATAGATTTAAGTTGTTCAACAAAGTTGGGGATTTTTTACATTAATAACATTTACATTACCTTACATTTGGTATTTTAAAATTAAAATTAAGGGTTCTTAAATAAATTTTTTTTCTCTGAAAAGCTTTTTTCTTTTAATAGCGCAATGGTTTCACTAGGCAATCAGGAACTTTTTTGAAAAATAAATGCTTTTTGGTTTTGAGATGTCATGGTAATTTTCTTTCGCACTATTTTTTTGAAAAAGAAAATACATTAATTGTTATTAGGTCTAGCATTTAGAGTGATTAATATAGTCTTCTATTACAAAACTTGATTTTCATTCGGCATAAAATATTTTTACTTTAATAGTTATACTGATGGTACTTCTCCAGCATGGCAATCAAGTGTTCAGATTAGTGTAGCATTAGCAGATTTTTTTAAAATCAGAATTACATATATATATATATAATAAAAATTGCTTTGCATTCTTTTTAAAACGCTTCTAAACTTTTTTCTAACAAAAATTTCAAAGCTGAAATAAGAAAACATCAGGCAGAACAAAAATTAAAGAAAAAAGCTCATGTTATTTGATATTAGGATTCATTTAATTTCTTAGTAAGCATCATTGTATAAAATTCAAATTCAAATTAAACTTAAACAAAAAATTTTAGATATAATTTTTAAATACATTATATTTTCAAATTTTGTTACTATTATGTTAGATGAAGATGATTTTTTGAAAATAATAATCTCCGCCTAATTGCATTGCGATTACAGAAAAATTATGATTTAAGAATATAGTGCTTTTGTTAATTCATAAATTCTGCTACAAGAACAATTATAATATTTTGAAACTTTTCAACTTTAGCTGCAAGTAATTTAAATTTAAAAATTATTTTTGGATTTTAAATACTACATCACTTATTAATTAGTTTTACACATTGCCTGTCAACATGTTACATTAAAATTAATGTGATACACCTCATTATTTCAAGCTATGATAAAATGATGACTTCAATTATGCTATTTGCCATCAGAAAGTTATGACTCTTAATTATTAAAAATTGCAGGGACACCCTTACATTTAAAACAATATGGTATCCTTGAGGTGATTTTAGTTGTAAAAAATTTTTCATGATAAATAAAACTCAAAGAAAAGTATAAATGTTAAAAAAAAATTTAAAAAAATGTACAAATATTAATTTCTCTCAATGGGTACATAAAGAAATGAGTACACACTTCTTTTAAATATATGGGACACCAAAATATGCCAAAAAAATTTTGGTAGCAGCCATAATCTGCTTCATGCCTTCCTTCCCATGTTTTCTAGCTCAGAAGTCTCTATGCCCTTGGGAAAATTTATTTCTTTTATTAAAATTTGTAACAAGCATTTAACTTTAACCGACATTGTAGCACTTCAGCTTCTGCGAGAAACTTTCCCGTTCACAGGATGATGATCACTCTTTCTTATGTACTCCGTAAATTTTTTAAACGTGTTAATTTTTGGATAAGCTTTCATTAAGTAGATTTTATCTTCATTGTCAACTGTTAGGTAAATACTTTAGTATAACTATTTCTGTTTACTTCTCCTTGTATCGCTAAGTAAAACCACTTCAGGTTACCTAAGCATCTGCAAATTTGTTTTCTTTTTTTAAAAAATGAAATGCAAAAAATATCATGTAAAAAAACTCATTCATATCATAGGCATAAAGTAAAAACATTTAATCACAGAAGATCTAGAAATCTTTTTTTAAAAAAATAAGTTTGAGGTTATTAATGGTAGAGAGCATTAAAGAATACTTAAACTTACCTCTTCAGCAAGTTCCAATGATATTCTACCAATACCATCAGAAAAAGTATAAGGCTCTCCAGGTTCAATGATTTTTTTTTCAACAGCATCATCAGGTACGACCTCCTTTAAAAACTTTTCAGGTGGTTTATCATCTGCATCAGTGTTTTCATCTTCTAGAATTAAATATTCTTTTATACCTTTCTCAATATCTTTTTCAGGATCTTTAACATTCGTCCAGTCTTGAGGAACTTGAATGTTACCCATAGATTGGGAAAACGTTTGACCCAACCGTGCCATATACTTGGGTACCTTTTTAATTTTTTCTAACTCTCCAAATTTTTTCCTTAACTTATCAGCAGTTAAATTATTCTTATCTTTAGCATAAAACCACATTCCATGAGCTTTCAATTGACTAGTTGAATTTCCTATATACTTATAATTTCTTTTTCCTATTTTGATTCCTTGAAGTAAAGGTGTCTTAAAATATTTGGAAAAAAATTCCATTAATTTCCTATCCATATCAGGAAAAAAACCTTTTCTTAAAGACCAATTTATCATATCTAAATCTACATCTCTAATTGAAAGTCGAAGAGAGTATTTTGGATCACAATCTCTTAATGCTCGGCTTTTCAAAGTTGGAACAGGGGGCATCAAGCGGAAATGTGTGGGAGTGGCTATAACACGCTTGATTAAAAGTGATTTACTCAGTTTTTTCTCTTTAACCTTTTCATCTTCAGGGAGCTCATTGGTAACTAACAATGAAGATCTTCCATGTAATCTCCGGAAAAGATCTTTCAAACAATGTAAGAATATGAAAACATTACCTTGTATAATAGCGTCATAAATAATGTACAGAGCCTCACAAAGAGCAGCTGAATCTTCCTCACTTTTTTGGTTCAAAAACGACTTGAGTTCATCAACTTCATTTCGCACAATCAACTGATCCAAAATTTCAAAGCTATATGTTAATAAACAATGTAAAGCATAGAAACAATCAAAATTATCCAAAGGAAATGAAATATTCAAATGTTGAGAAAAATTCTCCCTAACAGTTACTGGAGCAAAATATATTTGAATATTTTTGCAATGAATGAATAACTTAAACAAAAAATTATAGTCCAAAGCTTTATGTTCAAAATCAATTTTGAGTACTGTGTTCATACTAAATTCCTTTCTAATTTGCGTATTTCCTTCAAAAAAATCAACTACTCTAAACCAAGGTGTGCCAGCTCTGATGTCAGGAAACTCAATATAATCGTCTGATTCATCATTGCTTTGTTGAATCCCATACAGCAGAGGAGACTGAATCATTCGTAAGTATATAGTGAGTGTTTCACTTTTAGAAATAATCATGGAATAAAGAGCACCATAGGGAATTTCTATTTTATGAAAGCGGTGAGTAGTAGCATTTCTTTTTTTCACGTTTTTTATATTTTTGCCAACAACAAAATATAAAATTAATTTTCTGTAATCATGTAAAAACTGCAGCTTAGCTTGAGTAATTTTGTAATCAAATTTCTGCAGAGATGTTTTGCTATCAAAATGTTCAACAAATGTGTTTAGGCTCACAAAATTACCAAGAGAGAATTTAGTCAACTCAAATGTTTCCTCACTGGTATTAATTTTACAATCAGATAATAAAGATGGCAGAGGTTTCAACCACAAATCAAACTGAAAATTTTTAATAGAGCAAAAAAAATTAAGAAAGCGGTTATAATCATGATCTAAACCTTTTTCAAATTTAATTGAACAATTGACAACATACAAAAACTCAGCATAAAACAAATCATTCTTGGCTTTAGTTTCATCAAGAGCATTTTTTAAGGACAAATCAAATTCAATTCTAGGCTTGCAATCAGAAACATATAGTGGAAAACCACAATGTTTTGATAAAAATGATTTAAATTTAAATATAGATCCAAAAGGTTTGAAATCGTCTTCATGCTGCATAATTTTTAGATGGTCACATATTTCGTTTAGTTCCTCCACTCTTGGGAGCCAAACAAACTCTAAATGAAGATCTTCATTACTCATACTGAAATTAAAATGAGAAAAATTAAAACTAAAAATAAATGAAAATGTTAAAATGAAAATAAAAACAGAACAATTATTTTAATATTTCTTATAACACTTGCAACTGAAAATAAAGCAAATCATGTTTCTGGTAAGAACACTTAATGAAATAAAATACCAGAAATATGGCCAACAGTAGTTAAGACAGGGTTGCTACTCAAAATAGAAAAATAAAATTCTCCAACTTTTCCAGATATATTTTTAAAACATTCCAGTCTAACATCACAGTATGTTGTGACTGTGCCATGGTCAAAATATACAGCAATGAATAAAAATTAATATCTGTAATTTATACATTCTATTGAAAACTATAATTTTTGTTTTAAGTAACTATAAATTTTGTTGTCAGTTACAGAAAATTCTGATGAAAAATCCCTGTTTAATTTTGTATATCAGTATAATTTCATATCACTGATTAGTTTCATACATTGCACCCGCATGAGGCAAAAATGAACAAGAGGGAATTAAAAAAAAAAAAGGATATCTCAAGTTTTATGCAAATTAAAATAAAATGCTATTTCCTTACATATATTCAAAAATACTGAAGAGATGAAATTTTATCCACTGACCGCCCATTACCGCCACTGAACAGCCTACCCAATTTTGGGTTTACGTCTACTGATGTTCAACTCCATAGCCTAGTAATTTTGAACCCAATCCAGAAGACAAGGAAACTTCTGGAACAAGTATTGGGAGAAATTTGCCTTCATGAAGGACTTTTTGATGGAATTAACCCGCATTTGCGTTACACAGAGAGGCCAAGAGAACCTCCGACGGTTAGCCTGATGGCAAGGGGACTCTAACACATGATCTGTCTACCACTGAGGATATTTCAAGTCAACACTGTGGTTGGTGCAAGCCAGATGCAGAATTCGTATCGACAAGACATCACTGGGATTCCAACCCAATTCCCCTCATTGGAAGGCGAACGCTCTATCCCTGAGCCATTACAGCTCAAGCAATGAAATTTTATTTTATTTTATATCCATTGTTGAACAGCCGACACGATTTTGAGTTTACAACTACTAATGTTCAACTCCGTAGCCTTGTAATTTTCAACTAATCCAGAAGACAAGGAAACTCTTGGATCAGTACCCCCAGAGGTATTGATTTGTTATGGGAACATGGAGGAATTTGCGACTCGACAGATTTAATGTGCATCAGTCACCATTTACTACAAGGGGAGTCTTCGGCTGGCCTGGAATCGAACCCACAAACTCTTGGACATAGGCCCAGTGCCCTACCAACCAGGCTATCCTGGCCCTAAGCGATGAAATTATAAAAAATAATCTTACTTTATTAATGAATCAATAACTCATTATTATTAAGAAATATTCACTTGCTATTAATATTTATATGTAATGCCAATTAAATGAAAAATAAATCTAGTTTATCTGAGCTCAGGGATGCTACTCGCAAAATATCAAATTGTCTCACCAGAAATTGCATTTCGTCTCAGTTAAAATCTCTTTTTGGCTCAGNTTTGTCTCAGTTTGTCGCAAATGGCGCAGGCGTAGCATCCCTGTGAGCTTCTTCTAGATTTGATAGTAATAATTGCTAACATTTAATTATTAATAAATTTATTAGTATATCTGCTATAAGCAGATACTCTGCATAACAGATACTAGTTCAAAAAAAAAAAGTCTTAATAAAAATACTAAGTCCTCTCACAAAAGAAACTAATAAATATATAAGTATTCCTTGAATTCAATGATAATTAAAATCTAAATCAATTAAATAAATTATTTTTAAAATAAAATATGAGAACTGGATAGGATTTCCTTTTTAGTGGTGAATATTTTTTCCTATTTCTATTTTTTTTTTTTAAATATTGATTAAATTAAAAAAAAATCAAGCAAATATTTTAGAAAAAGCCAATAAAAAGATTTGATCCTTTATCATGAAGAAGAAATCGAAACATAAACATTACAGAGAGAAAAACAGTAAAAAATTTATTCAAATTTTTATCTTTACAAAATAAAAATGTTCAAAACAAGAGTAAGTATTCTGAAAATTTGACTAGGTAATGTATAATATTAATGTTAAAATAAATAGGAAAACCCAATAGAAAGCAAAATTATCAATGATACAAAAAGTAAGCTTTATCCTCTTCAAATCTCACCTACAAGGAGTATAATAAAGAGTAAATTAGACAAAAACAGAAAACTAGAACAGAATGTAAAAAAAAGGAACAAAAAGCACAGCTTATTTTTCTTTCTTAAAAAAAAATTAAAAATAAATTAGATATATAAACATAATTGGGAGTTAAAACAAGATGACAAAAATATACAGGGAAAAAAAGGAAAGCGCAAATTATGTAACTATCTATTATATTTAAATGTAATAAAATAAAGTGAAATAAAAACAAAATATTAAAAAAACGCATATTAACAGTTTTGGGACAGATATGAGGGGTTAATCCAGGTAGAAAAGGGGGGCCATTTTGTGGCATTCTTCACAACATTCAAATTCTAAAAAATAGCCCCATAACAAAATTCACGTTTTAAAAAACTCTCACGTTCTTAGTAACAAAATTTTTATTTGTAAAAACGGTTCATTCAAATGGCCCTTTCACGAAATTTTACTTAGTAAAAATGATCGCACAAAATATCGGAAATAGGAAATCCGCGTGAAAAAGGCCATAAAATTGGTGAAAGACAGACAAAAATAATCATCCAACAACGTGAAGTTACGCTGAAATTATCATGAATCGAACGCATCAAAGAATGATAACTCAAACGTCGTTATAACTCCCTATAAAAAATATCAGAATTTGACAAACCATGTGAAAAGGTCCGAAAAATGATAAATAACTGGAAGAAAAAAAACTATCACTAAACATCACATTAAGATTGAATAGTAACGAACAGGGCCTGATCTAGAAATGCGAAGGTCGTTACTTTAAACAAAATTTAACTGAACAAAATTTAATGAAATGTTTTTAAATTATTTATAGCATAAGTATGTTACTATATATTAGTAAATTTGAACTTATATCTATTTCATTTGTTGTTAACTCGCTTTTCTAATAAAAGTATAATAAAAAAAAACATAAAGAATGTATTTATAACATTTTGGGGGGCTATAGAAATAAGTGGGCCCTAAGCAAGGGCTGTTCAAGCTTCACGATGAATCACGCACTGATAACGAATCGAAGCGGCAGTGAGTGATAATTCGTAACTCAAATTTGCACAATGTAATAACATTGTATTAAAAATATCGAAAATTGAAAAACCACATGAAAAAAAGTCGAAAAAATAATAAATAACTACTGATAAACTATCATCAAACGACGTAAATCTATGATAGAATCGTCAAGAATTGAACGTCTCAAAAAAACCGATGGCTCAAATTCGAATGTCGCAAAAGTACGCATTAAATATATAGGAATTATTATGAAAAACCAAGTGAAGCGGCTGAAAAACGATGCAAAAAACACGAAAGCTAACAAAAAAAAGTGATTAAAAATTTTATTAAGAAATTTTCAGAAAATTTATTTCCATTTTTCACAAAAATGGGCCTTAAAAATAAAATCTAGCTTGAACCCAGGTACTATTATAATACTGGCTGCTTTATAATTTCCAGGTGGAACAGTAGCCCCCATGCTTCCCACTAAAAGGTGCCATTATGACTAAGCCCTACAACCGTGAGTGCTGAGCAATATCAGTATTTCACAATATTTATCTATATAGCTAATTTATAATAAGTTGATTGTCGTTAAGTTGTTTTAAATGATGTTATAAGTTAAAAAACAGTGTTTTCTTTACTTTACCTTAAATATTGTACTCTTCATAAACAATATAGTTTATATTGCCTTAAATTCAGTGGCGTTGCTAGAGAGGGGCATGTGCCCCAGAGCACAGCCACTAACATGCATAATTAATGTTACATAATTAAAAATGAATTCTAGAATAAAATGGATCGAAATTTATTTCCCATAACATGCATTTAACTATTCTTACATACTTTTGGATTTTGAAGCTTGTTTTTAAAAGTTATTTTAAACTGCTTATCTGTGCTCAGCGGCGTAAATAGCACCCCGACTAAGGGAGGAGTGCACAACCTACAACCCGCCCGCTCTTGATGTGCGGCCAGCGGCAGCATCTGAGCATCATAACAATAATAAAAAACTATAATTTTTCTATTTTATTTTGGAAAAAAAAAAGAAGTTTGAATTATGCTTTAAATTTTGGAAGCGCCTAGCAAAATCAATATAGTTATTCCATCGTATTTTTCGGTGGTTATCACTACGAATTTTCACATTTTTTTAAAAAAATACTTTACCAGTACTTTTAATACGACTAAATTATAATGCATGAATTTCGAATTTTAGTAATCACTTTTGAAGCTCTTTGTGTCCATTTCGTAGCTATGCGACTTTTCGATTGTGTTATATTTGTGTCAATTATATCATAAATCCAAGCTATTTTTCTATATTTTTTGGGGAGCAATACGTATTTTCACATGAGTTTCAAATTTCCCGATATTTTTAATAAATATATGCGACAATCGAAACATACATTTCAATGTGTACTTTATTTGCGCTGATTTCATCAAAAATCTATGAGATTTTTTTTATCGTTCTTTCAACAATTAGAATTACACTTTCCACGAGGTTTTGAAAACTTTGATATTTTTAAACCGGTGCTATAACGACTCGCGATTTTAAAATCAGGCATTTTAATCATCCCCTTTGAAGTAATTTTTTTTTTAAATTTCGATATTTTAACACAAATGTGAAATTTGAAAGTGGATTTTAAAACTGCTTACTGTTCTTGAACTTTGTTTCTAATTTTTCATAGCTTAAAAAATAATTTAAAAAACTATATTAAGGTTTAACATTCATAAAATTCCTCATAATTCACTAAATATAAATGTTCTTAAGTTAAAAATACACTGAACTGAATACCAACTAAATGTTGAGTCTTATTTTGAGCGATAATGCAATTGTTTTATTTTAAA